GGAGGAGGCGACTTGGGAGGAGGCGACTTGGGGGGAGACGACTTGGGAGGAGGCGACTTGGGAGAAGGCGACTTGGGAGGAGGCGACTTGGGACCCGGCGGAGGAGAATCAGGCTTGGGACCCCCAGGAGGCGAAGGCGACTTGGGGCCCGAATCAGGCTCAGGCACAGCGGTGCCGCTATCTGCTGTCTTCTGGTGCTGCGTCCTCCCCGTGACCCTGCCTTGCGATTTCAAGACAGTGTCGTTTGCCATGATGTTGCTCGGCGCAATTTACGAAACGATATAGGAGCGTTTCAACCAAAGTTCGACTTAGTAGTAGTGGAAACGCGACTAGTGAGGGGGTGAGTTCCGCACTACGGAGATTTCTCCGTACAGCGATACGATTTGGTAAGCTTTGAAAAGGAATGGATATAAGGCCTTCGCCTGCTAATGCCTCCGGTAGCGCGACTCTCAATCCTACTCTTCACCGTCGGTCAGAATCTCGGTCTGTGCAGCCTTGAGATGCTTCCGTTCGCAGTGCTGCACTTTGAAACCGGCAATACGGCAAATGGAGTTTCCTGAACGGAACTACTACGACAGGCGTTTTCAGAGACCTGAAGAAAAGCTTACGCAAGGAAAGGCACGGCGGTTGATGTGTTTACGACGAAGCTATTACTACAAGGCGATGCACGATGAGAGTTCTGTTGGTAGTGGCTGTTCTGCACCTCTTACTTGATTCAGAACTCGATTAACGAGGGCCAAAACTACATCGAACGCAAATTCAGCGTGCAAGAAACCGGGACCGGCTCAGACGTCCATCATCCTCCTAACGGGGCCGGCCCAACCTCACGACCAATAAGTTAAAGAAAACGGCCCGGTAGAAAGTCGCGGTCATCCCAAGCGCCAAACTCAATCTCCGGGATTGCTAGTAAACGCAAGCTTCACGTGCAGGGCCTTGTGTGTCAGCTTTGAGGAGTCTTCGGTTGCACTTATGTTCATCTGGGCTTTCTGCACCTTCTGGGCAGGGTTTCGGGCCTTCTGTGTGTCTCTGGGGAATTGGGAATTCCACGAGTTACATTGTTGGATTGGAATCTGAAAGTCTTGGCAGGGAAAGGCAACGGCGGGCGGGACGACGGGCGGAAATGGGATGCGGGAGTGGGCGCGCTGAATGTTGGCAACTGCTTCGCGGAAGGAGGAACGATGAACCATGGTCCGCGTTCGGAAAGTAGTCAATGAACGCGCGAGGATGACGCGGAGGGGACAGCAATTGTGGGGGGAGAGAGGCATGGGGGAGGCTGGGGGAACCGCGGGGTGGAACTGGGGGGAAGGTGGAAATGGAAACACATTGAAGCAGACGAACCCGATGAAGGCGAGGCCGTGAAGTGTGCGGCAATGTAATTATTGGTGGCTCAGCGCGGTCCGGTAGCTGAGTGACGTAACAAGAAGAAATACGTTTATTTCCCTTTGTTGGCTTACACATCAAATAGCTTCTTAAAGAACCAGCAATTCCCATTTTTTCCACAATAATATACTCAAAAAGTACATAATAGTATGATGCTATGATAATCTAATGCAAAAAAATTACACAATAATATGATGCTCTAAAATATTCTGACATATTTGATCAAGTTTCAGGCTACAGAAAAATACATTTAGATACAATATGTATTATTAATATATACTAAACTATATACCATACTATCAAAGTTTCCCCTATTATTGAACTATTTAAAATCCGTCTTTATTGTTATCATCAAAGAGATATCTTGCATAGCTCTCTTTTGCATATTAAGATAATTCATTTCTTTGATGTCATTTTCTCCACTCAATGGAGCGGATGATTTCGCCCCAGGTTGGTGTTAAAACCCGCAGGCCAAGAATTTCAACCTTAGGAAGGTTGGTTGGGAGTGAAAACGCAAAAGGCCTGCGAACCAATAGGAGTGTCCGAAATGTTGGACGAGGTCTAGAATTCGGGAATGATCACAGGCATTTTTGGGACATCCAACCAACGCTAGGAAGGATGAACCAAATTTGGCCTTCTTGGCCTGCGGGTTTTAAAGCCAGGATCTCAGGTAGTTCAATTGTTTTGCAGTTGGTGAGGGGAGCTGGGCTGCGATTGGTTAGCGAGGTGAACAATCTGACGAGGTGTGAAGCGAGGGGTGCGAAGTAAAGACAAATCGCAAGTTCAGTCCGAACCAAGCAAGGCTCGGAAACTGGTTCGGTGACGAAGCTTCAATGCCTGCAATTTCTCGTCACACACAACAATCTCATGTACCAGCAAAATGTTTTGCATTTGCTCTAGGGGCAAAATCGTGGGTGTGCCGCACGCTCACTTTCCTAACCAGCCAGTCAATTCGCCTACAAAAATAGGGTAACAAGCGCTGCAAGTGTTTTGCAATTGAAGGCCAATTCTCTTACTTGAGATCCTGGCTTTAAGCAATAACCGTCGAAATGATTTATGTTCTAGTTCCCATTGGAAAGATTTGTGAAGACACGTTTCGTCGTCGTGCACACACCCAACCCCTGAAGGGCTCCTCCTGTCCTGTCAAGCACCAGCCCAAAAGGCCCACCCGAGAAAAGGAAGACCATGCGCGGAAGTCCGGGTTGTGTGCGAGTTGTACGTGGACATTCTCGGGTTGATTATGACATATGGTCCCATCCCATGGTGACAAATGAAAGCTGTCAAATTTCTGCTGGGAGGAGACGAAATTTGGAAGGGCAAAATACTAAAAGCAAGAGTTTTCCGCTTGCAAGAGTGGCGGATAATTTTTTATGTTTGTTGATGCTTGTTTTGCGCTCTATAGAGTAATCTTACATCGCCTAAAAAAAATGGCGAAAAAATCTGAGGTGTGGCGTGTCTGCTGGTATATAGACAAGTGGATCTCTCAACTCCGGTAGTTCCACCCCCCACAAGTTATTTTCAGTCAGTGCTTACCCAAACTAGATTCGATTTCGCAACCATCAGTGTTAGTCTAATTTGGTAGTTGTTGCGATGGACACGGCGTACCCGAATTGTGAAGCTTGTCAGTTGTTCTGGGAGAACTGTACCGCCATGCGACTTTTTTTTGCAATCTAGATCCTCACTCCACGAGGATGGATCTGTGCACTTTGCATGCGCATTCACCAACAGTAGACTTTCGAGGTGTACAGTTCACGGTATTTCACGTGGTTTCCTGGAATCTGAAGGGATGGAAAGTCTGAGCTGTGTGGAGGACGTTGGTTTGTGTGAACACCCCTTGGTCCACTATCTCGTTTTGTCTGGTTTCAGGGACTACTGTGCAGGTTGGTTTCAAAACACACCACCAGCTCTGCTCTGCTCTGCACCTCAATGCCCGCTTGGAGTCTTCCGAGGATCCTCTTCCGCGTCCAGGTGAGCTGGCGACTGTCCAGCCACGGCTGCAAGGGGATCACTTGCCTGAAAAACCACCTTTCATCCGTTCCCTCTCGTCCGTCTTCTCCCGTCCCGTCCTCCAAGTTCTGTCTTCTGAAGGCATTTTAAGGTTCAGTCTGGTGTGCAATGGTCCAATACGGTGATTTTTTCAAACCGTTCCCAAACGTAAGTTGACCTACTGAACCGCGTCAAACGAACCCTGAACGAGAAAATATGATCCGACCTAAGTGTTTCTCATTTTACAGTCACATCACAGACCAACTTTTCCCAATGGCATTCGATACCTCTAGTTGTGTCAGACGAGCTCCATGATTCAAATATTGGTTCTCCTGGCTCTACCTCCGCCTTTACCTCCGCATCTACCTCTGCCTTCACCCGGAGCCACTCGCTTGTCTTACGTAGCAGCGCAATTGTTCCGACGCTATTTCCGCTAAGAGGGAGAGTATGTTACTATCAGGATGAGAATGAGGTACCACTGCGATGCTGGTCACCTGAAGTGTGGTCAACTGCTAGTCAGATGAGTTTTCACGGCCGTGTACTGACCTTAATTGTAACCTCCCATACTCTATGTCAGCTCTTCTACATGTAGTATCAAGCGTCAGACGAAGTAGCGGTTCGTGCGTCGTTTCTTCTCGCTTACGTCCCGTACGTATATGGACAAGTACGTTAAGATCAAACTCATAGGCGAGGGATCGCACGGAAAAGTGTATCTGGTTAGGGAGAAACCCGACGGCGAAGGATCCTCGAAGCATCAACAGGCCGTTCGCAGTCCGAGCGATAAAGTATGGGTGATGAAGGTCGTACCGTTGCCGTCGGATCCGAAAGAGCGAGAAGAGTGCGTTCGAGAAGGGTCGACCATGATGAAGCTCGGTCACCCCTGCATTGTCGGTTGCAAGGTACTTACCGTCTAAACTCGCCGTCTACCGAGAGCGTACTAGTTCTTCTTATCTCAGACCCGAGGCCGGTAAATTCAGCAGAATCTGAACGTCTGACCGACGTACGTCGTCATTTCTCCAGCTGCTGATAAGTTTCTCGTTTCTAATTTGGGTTTCTTCGTGTTACCCGGATGCTGCCTTTTCCGTCGCAGGAAGCGTTTATCGACCGCTCCAGCCGTGCCTTTTGCATTGGTGAGTACGGCACGCCTGAAAACGGTGCAATTTGGCACTACCGATTTACCGCGTATCGTCGAATCCGTTCACTTAGTGTGTTCCTCGTTCGTTCCCATGGCGACACTGTCGGAGAGCGTCGCAGAGGCGATTACGGAAGATCCAATCTATCGTACTCTTTACAACTCGTGGTGTCAAGGGACCTGAGGGTTTGTATATATTGCGAGAATTCCGTTCCTTGCAGTTGAGGTGTCAAGGTTCGGCTGCTTTGCTTTAAAAAATTCGATTACATTCGCTAGTGAAGCCGTTGTGCTGGTCAGTTGAATGTGGCATTCTTTTAGAATAACTCGTTCCGCGTTAATTTTGTGACTACAACGAGCGGCACGCAGCAGCAGCACGGAGGAGCCTTCTCTCGCCATAGCAACACCTGTGCCTGTCTCACGCTTACTAGGACCAAACTCGTACCGTCATAATGATCCCTTACCGTCCCTGCCTTGGTGTTTGGTGCTTGGTTCATGCACAGTGATGGAGTATTGTCGCAAGGGTGAGCTGTGTCAGCACCTCAAGAAGCGCTCCAACATGGCAATGATGTGAGTGGTTGAATTCGGTTCTAGCAGGTCCGCGATGATGTTAGTGATGTGAGAGGCTGGTCCTTGCGTTTGAGGCGAATTCATTCGTCCAGTGTAGGCATCAGTTAACTCACGACGGTAGTTATGACGACGCGTCGTTTCGTCCTTTCGCACAGTTTCGCCATTTTTCGCTGCGTCGTCCTTCATTCCGTTGTTTCTTCGTCGTTCTGATTGCTCCCTTCCGCCAGGATTCCCGAAGACACGATTCTCAACTGGTTCGTGCAGCTCGTGCTCGCGTTAGAGTATCTTCACCATAAGAACATTCTCCACCGAGACGTCAAGGTACTAAATCCCTTTCCGCTCGTCTTCATCTCCCCCGTTCTATCGATTTTCCGTCTGCCTTGGCCCCCTCACAGCCCCCGCTCGTCCCCTCTTCCTCGCCTCACTTCGTCCCTCCGCTCCCTCCCAACCCAATTCTCCTCGCTCGCTCAAACACGCGGCTCGGTTATGCCTCCTCCCTCCCTTACGCCTCCTCCCCCCCACCCTTCTCTCTCCACCTCCCACCCCACTTCCCCTGCGCCCTCCGGTCAGGCGGAGAACGTGTTTCTTCGCAGCCGTCACGACACGCCGCTGGGTAACGCGGCGACGGTGCAGCTGGGCGATTTCGGCATTTCGCGAATGCTGGAAGCCCACGAGGCGGTCGCGCGAAGCTTCGTGGGCACGCCGCTGTACATGTCGCCCGAGCTGATCCGGAACGAACCGTACGACCATAAGTCAGGTGAGCCGTTCGATCACGAGTCAGGTGAGCCGTACGAAATTGAGTCAGATGAGCCGTACGACCCGGGTGTAAAGGCCTGATTCAACCTACCTGTTGGCACGTGTACTGTGCCCTGAAGTGTAGCCTAATATCTCCCCCTTGCCCCCTGCCCCGCCCCTTTGCAGATATATGGGCGCTGGGTTGCATCCTGTACGAGATGATGTGCTTCACTAAGCCCTTCCCCGCTACAAGCATACGCGACCTTGTTCTGCGAGTGCTCAAGAGCAACTACCGCCCTCCTCCCCACATGTAAGCTGTGTTTTTTCTCTCGTTATTGTTTTCAGACTTCTTTCCTGTTCCAGGTTCTCATACCTCTCTTCTCTGTCCCCGCATCCTTCCCCCATCCCTCCCCCATCCCTCCCCCGTCCTCTCCCCGGATCCCCCCGCCTCTCCACCGCAGATACTCCCCCGAGCTCTGTTTCCTGCTCACCAAGATGCTCTCGAAAGACGCGTCGCGCCGCCCCACCGCGGCCGACATCCTCGCCTTCCCGCTGCTGCGCCCGCGCGCCGCCGCCTTCCTTGCGGCGTGCCAGCTGGCGGCGTCCGAAGCTGCGGAGACGCACGCGCAGCAGCAGCAGCTGGAGGAGCGCATGCAGCGCCAGCTGCAGCAGCCGCAGCAGAAGCAGCACCACCGGAACTATCAGCGCCGCGATAAAAACCAGGAGCAGCAGAAACAGCAGCAGCAGCAGCAGCAGGAAGGCTCATCCTCCTCCTCCCCATTCTCCTCTCCGTTTTCCTCCCCCCTGGCCTCCCCCCCGCCCTGCTCCTCCTCCGTCCCGACTTCCCCGCTGCACCAGCACCATTCCCCCAGCGCCGCGCGCGTCTTGGCCATTCACAGCGAGGTCGTGTTGCAGGCGCACCGCCTAGGGTTGCACGCTCCGCTCGAGCCCCTGCTCTCCCCTTCCGCGCGCGCGCGCGTAGCATCCGCGGAAGGCGCGCGCGCGGAGCGCCCGCGTGCGCCGGGTTCGCCCCGGCAGATGGCAGCAGCGGGGGCGGCGGAGATGCGCGGGGAGGCGGGGGCGGGCGGAGAGGGCTCGCTGTTCCGCGATTACGAGGCGAGCTTGAAGGTCCCCCCTCCTCAGGCAAGTCCTTTCAAATCTCCTGGTCCTCTCCGCTCTCTTCGTGTTTCTTCCCCCTCTTTCCCCTGTGTCGATCATCCTTCTCTTACCCCTCCTTCTCCACCCGCCCTACTCTCCCTCCAACTCTCCTCTCTCCCCCTCTCGCCCCCTTCAGAAGAGTTCCCAGAGCAATCGCTCACGAGCAACGTCAACCGACGGAGTCGTCACCCAAACCAACGCTTCAGCCTCGGGCTGCCCAACCAGCCCGTTCGCCTCGGCGGCGGCTCGGCGGCGATTCTCAGCCTCGGACACGGATAACCTGGTGCAGCGCGCCAATAGCCGCGGCCGGGGGAGCATCAGCGGGCGCATGGGGGACGGCGGGGGCGCGGGGGGGAGTGGCAGAAGCGGGGGCGGCGGAAGCAGGCGGGGGTCGCGGGAGCTGTCACTGGCGGAAGAGGATTTGCGCGCGCTAGAGGAGGGGATAGAGGAGGGGGGCGGGGACTTATCGGACGTGGTTCGCGGAGGGGCGACGGGGGAAACGAGTAGTGCGGGAACTGGCGGAAACTCGTCGCAGGAGAGTGTACCATTAGGTGTAGAGCATCCCTACAGCGATAGAAACGCATCCGGGCGTTATAGCGCGGATGACTTCGCGTCTTATAACGGGGAAACCAGTGGCCGCTTCAGCGGGGAAAGTTCTAGGAGGTTTTCAGATTCCACTCCCCCGTTGTCCTCCGCCCCAGGGGCGCGGCTTTCCCCCTCGGCGGAGACACGCGCGCTTGTAAATAGACCGCGGGGGAGGAGCATGAAGGAGCGGGAGCCCGCGCATGTGGGGACCGCTGCGGAAGCAAGCGCGGAGCCAGGCATGCGCGCGCATGGCGGGGAGTGCGCAGACCTTGGGGAAGGAGCGGTGGAGGGGAGAGCGCCGGGAAGCAGCAGGGGTTACGCGGAACGGCGAGCAAGAGAGGGGCGCGCGCTGCAGAGGGGGCGCAGCGAGGGCGGGCGGATGGGGGAACACTTCCACGTGAGGGAGGGCGCGGGCATGGGGGAAGGCAGTAGGGAGGGCGCGGGCATGTGGGCCGAGGGGGAAGCGGAAAGGGAGGCGGCGGATAGGGAGGCGGCGGAAAGGGAAGCGGCGGATAGGGAAGCGGTTGAGAGGGAGGTGGCGGAGAGGGAAGCGGCGGAGAGGGAGGGAGCGGAGAGGGAGGGGGCGGAGAGGGAGCGGAGCGGGCGGCAGCAGGAGCGGCGGTGGCGGCGGTCCGCCCGCCGCATGCCCTCGTGGGACTGCGAGCGCCTCCCCGGAGTAGCCTTCCCGCGCCCCCCCCGGTCCTTCGAATCCTCCCCCATATCCATCAACTCCCGCACCCCCCACTCCCGCACCTCCTCCCTCACTCCCTCCCACTCCTCTTCCGTCTCCCCGTCCCGGTTCCCGTCCTCCTTCTCCCCCTCGTTCGGGCCCTCTCGCACGTCCTCTCGCACACGGTCGCACAGCAGCAGCAATGCGACGGACCAGTCGCTCGGGCAGTCGCCGCTTTGGACGCCGAGGCGAGTGGTGGAAGAGGCGAGTCGCCTGCTGGGGGGGCAGCGGGGGGAGGGGATAGGGCTAGGCGCAGGCATGGGGATGGGCATGAGCGCGGGTACAGGTATGGGATATTACGGGAAGCAGCAGCACGGGCAGTATCAGAAGCAGCAGCAACAGCCGCAGCAGCTGCAGCGGCGGCGGCACCAGAAGCACCAGTCAGAGTCATGTATAGACCTCCAGATAGGCCCAGGGGGAACCTATTCTGATCTTTCTCCCAATAGAGATGCTAGAGGGTACAGTCCGGGGGTTCCGTATGCGCGGGACAGGATGTGGTATGGCGAGGAGCGCAATATGGGGTACAGCCCGCCTGGAAGGGCCTTGAGCCCGCCAGCAGCAGCTCAACAATTCCAGCAGAAGCAGCCGTTTGAGGGGAGGTCGCGGGTTCAATCCCCGGTGCCGTCATTCCCAAGCCGGGTCAGTGAGGGGGATGAGGACAAGAGCAGCAGCAGCGGCAAAACTCGTGCCAGTGCTGCTCGCACTGGCGTCGCTGGTGCCTCTTCTCCTCATGCCTCTGCCTCTGGAAACAGCACCCGCATTGCTGCTGCCGCTGTTGCTGCTGCTGCTGAAGCGCTTTCTGCAAAGCCTAAAAGCCCAACCACCAACCCCACAACCCCTACAATCCATTGCCCAAGTCCCACTAGCCCAACCAGTCAATGCGCTAGCCCCACCCCTGCTAGCCCTACAAGCCCCACAAGCCCCAACCCCACCAGTCCCACGAGTCCCACTGTGATGCGCTCTCTCCCCACGCGCAGCTCTGCCAGCTCTACAGACGCGGAGGCTGTGCTGTGCCGCGCCCTCGCCTCCATCCCCTCCCCCCCGGATAGCCCCTCCGCGCTCACCCTCATTCCGCCCCTCACTGCCTCCTCCTATAAACCTAACAAGGCAGCAGCAGTAGCTGCTGCTGCTGCTCCTTCTGCTGATATTGCTCCCGCTCCAGTCCAGCCGCTGGGTCCCTCTGCCTCTGCCCCATCCCTTGCATTCAGAAACCCCCTGGCGGCGCTGCCCCCGCTGCCCTTCCCCTTCCGCCCATCCCCTCGCGCCCCTGTGCCCAGCTCCGCGCCCGCCTTTGCAACCGCAGCTGCTCTCATAGCTGTTGCTACAGGCATGCCGGATGGGCGTATGGGCACGCCAGGGAGCCATATGGGCATGTCAGAAGGCTGTATGGGTATGTTGGAAGGGCGGAAGGGCATTGAAGGGCGGGTGGGCATCCCCGAAGCAACGTCAGTGGAGACCATCAGCAGCACTCTGAGCTCAGACACCGCTGCTGCCATTCCCCGCATGCAGCACGTGGCCGCTCTGCACCGCATCCAACACCAGCAACTCCAGCAGCAGCAGCAGCAGCAGCAGCATGTGGGAAATCAGAACACCCAAAAGTCACCAGCAGAGTCTTCCCTCAGTGCAGCTAGTGCCTCTGCTGGGGATACCTATGGCGCTGCTGGTGCTGCTGCTGGTGCTGGTGCGGGCAGCAGCGGCGCCAACGCCTCTGTCTCCAGCTATGGCCGCAGCAGCAGCAGCAGCAGCAGTAGCGGCACCCGCCCCACGTCGCCCCTCCGGTTTGGCGGGAGGCTGGCTGCGAAGCTGGCGGGTTCCTTCTCCTCCCTGGTTCCTAAATCTCCCAAGTCTCCCAAATCGCCCAAGTCCTCCAGGTCTCCCAAATCTCCCAAGTTGCGGAGTCCCCGGAAGTTTGGAAGGAGATTCGGTGCAGTGACAGGAACTGAGGGGGCGGGCGGATCTGCAACAGCAGCAGCGGGGACAGCAACAGCAGGAGGAGCAGCAGCAGGAGGAGCAGGAGCAGGGCAAGGGAGAGGGTCGTCCTTGGTGGCAGCAGTGGCGCTAGGGGGTCACAAGAGCACCCCGTCCTTGACCCTATCCACAGACGAAGGCCCCACTGCTGGCTCTGGGAATTTCAGCAGCGAGGGGACTATGAGCTGGGGCTCCCTCCTCTCATCCTCCTCCCTCATTGGCCGCTCCTTCTCCCTGCTCTCCCCGAGAAAAGGCACCAAAATGCGCCGGGGAACCTGCCTTGTACCCTCGACGTCGACACGGGAAGATGGGCAGGTGGAGGCGGCGGTTACTGGGGATAGTGACTTGAGTGGGATGTTGGGGGATAGTGAAGTGAGTGGGGTGTGTGGTGGGGATAGTGAGGTGAGCGGGGTGTGTGGTGGGGGGATGTCGCTAGAAGCCAGTTTGAGCCATGCAGGGCCGGATGTGCTGTTGGGTGTGAGGGATGCTGCTGAGGCAGCAGCAGGTGCAGCGGCAGGAGCAGGAAGAGCAGAAGCAGGCGTTGCAGAAGGAGCAGGAGTGGGAGTAGGGATGGGTGCGGCAGGCGAGGCAGGTGGTGCTGTAAAGGGGTGTTTGAATGACGGGGCTGAGGATGTGTTAATGGGCCACGTGCGTAGCAGGCTGCAGGCAGTGCAAGCAGGGCAGGCAGGGCAAGCAGGAAAGGCAGGGCAAGCAGGAGAGGCAGGAAAGGCAGAGCAAGCAGGGCAGGGGGCACAAGCTGGGATGGCAGTACAGGCAGTGCAGGCGTGTAGGAGTGGGGAGGAGGCGAGCAACGAGGAAGAGAGTGGGAGGAAGTGGGCCCGGCAAGGCACTGCCGATCGCAGGCTAGCGCTGCAGGGACAGGGGAATTGTGGCGCAGGTGGCGCAGGTGGGGGAGGCGCAACAGGTGTGGCGGGCTGGGCAGGTATATCTGGTGGAGGTTTGTCCCAGGCAGGTGCGAGCTGGACACAGCCCAACCCAGACAGAAAGCTCTCTAGCTCCCTCCACAGCCCCACACACTCTCCTACCAGTAATCCCAGAGGTGGTAACCGCGCTGCAGCAATGAATCGTAACAGTTCGAGCAAATCACTGAAAGAGGAGGGTGTGTATCAGCGGGTGCTGGTTGGGTTGGAGATCCCAGAAGGGGAAGAAAAGAGGGGAGGTGAGGGGGTGCCGGAGAGACCAGTGCTGGGTGTGGGGGGAATGCATGGGAGGGTATCTGTGATTGGTGGTAGCGGTCAGCAAGGGGAAGCATGTGGGAATGCATATGGTGGTGGTGATGGTGATGAGAATGGGAATGGTGATGGAGGGGGGTATGTAGAGCAGGAAAGTGATGGGGATTCAGCATCGTCGTCGTCATTCAGTCCGACAGTCCCTGCTACACTGACGTCGCCTTTAGGGAGTTTGTTTCAAAGCAGGAGGAAGCATGAGCGCTTACCAAGGCGGTTACAGAGGAGGAAAACTGGCACCCCACGCTAGTGGCTGTTGACGAAAATCAAGTGTGGGTTATATGGGTTCGGCAGGTTGCATTCATTGTTTTGGTTTCATTATTTATTCGTTCATTTTTGTGCAAACTCATGTGAAAGAGTGCATTGAACTCTATGTAAGCATATATACCGTATCACCCCGGATAGTAGCGCATATGCGCTTAGAGCGTATTCCTACGGGGCCACCTCGTATCAAGAATGAAATTGACTTTTGTTTACGGTATAAAACACCTTATATCAAGAATAGACCGAACCAGCGCACCAATGAAAATGCTCGCACACCCAGAAGTGAACGTGCTGATTTTCCGACGCACGGTTCCAGTTGACGCGAAGTCGTCAGTCCAGTGAATGCGGCCGACAAACAGTCATGCGAAACTGCACACGGTGGCAGTCGTGCGCCGCGCGCGAACGTGCAAAGTGTGCAAACTTGTTCATGCTGGGTCGCAACATGCCACATCAGCTGTTGATGGAGTCGCACATGTGGGTTAACCAGCAACTTTTACTAATATGAGGTTTTGGCGAACTTGTCAATTTACAGGCAGGAGTACCATTCTTGATACGAGGTGGCCCCGTAGGAATACGCTCTTATAATAAAATTGATTTTTTCAAGGGGGGCGCTTATAATTGAGTTTCGGGCATAAGCGCATGCGCTTATATAATGACAAATACAAATTTATACTTTTAGGGTACAAAACTGTACCTTTCATTGATGCCATTTCAAACGAGTCGAAATAATATAGCGTCACAAAGCAGAATCGCGCGCAAGCGATTCTGCTTCCTGCACACCAGCAAGTTCACCTCACTTTGTAGGCATGCCAGCACATCCTGATTGGACGCGCAGCCAGTCATGTCTTCGCGAGTCAAACGAAGCGAAGATGAAATTTGGCTCGCTGCGAAAATGAAACTCGTTACCGTTTTAAACAGATTTATAATTTCAAAATGTACGTGCGCTTATAATAAGTAAATGTTTTCCAGGGGGGGCGCTTATAATCGAGTTTCGGCCATAAGCGCCATGCTCCAGATAGAAGCGCCGGCGCCTTTAATCGGACGGCGCCTATATCCGGGGCCATACGGTACTTTTGTTTATTTGTTATCAAGCAAATAATAAGTGGTGCAGACGCGCTAGTGAAGTTAAACCCTGGCATCAATAGCTGCTGGTAACAAAAAGTACTCCCTAAGTAAGGAATTTTGTCTAATTCCATACTGAGGCACTTAATGCGTGTACAACTCCAACTTTCGGGGTTCCATGCTCGGTCCGACGACCTCGCCCTCCGAACGTCTCTTGCGTCGCCTTTGGGTTTTCCAACCCCAAACCTGCACCCGACTATGCGCGGTCCCGCAGCCTTGGCCTAGCTAGCCCTCGCTATATCAATGCTAGGTCTCATTATTTCTTCAGTAATTGTAACCACTTCCACGATATTTCATCTTGCGCACACTCTTCTTTGACAAATCATAACACTTGGTATCAGAGCTACTTTCCTAAGTTACCCTTGCATTTCCGGGGTAGTTTAGTGAGGTAGTTTAGATACGATTATCTCGCTCTGACTACGTTAGCGTTCGCGCCTTCATCAAAGTCATAAAAATCACTGTTAACCGCCTGCCCGTTAGGCGAAGCCTGAGAAATATGGACCAGGCCAAGTTCAACGAGTACATGCAACAGTTCCGAGCGATGCAGACCACAGTGCAGACCATGACAGCGGAGGTCGAATGCGTGAGGGTGGAAAACGCCGAACTACGCCAGGCGCGAGGTGAATCGCGCAAGGAGTCGCCCGTCATGGATGAAGCAAGTAGCAGCTCCACGCCGAACGAGGTCGTCTTTAGTGAGCTGGAGGGCTCCATGGATGCTGAAGATGAATGGCGGGCACGGCAGCAACAGGCGCAAGCAGCGTCGGAGCAACAACAACAGTCGCAAGCAGCGCCGAGGCGGCAGCAGTCGCACGCAACGCCAAGACAGGCACCAGCGACAACGCCGGCGATGGCTTCGACTGCATCAACAATGCATGCGGCAGAGGCAGTTTCTACAACTGTCAAAATTAAACCGACAAATCCGCCCCCATTCAACCAGAGCAACAATGCATGGTTGTTAAGAGTGGAAGCTTTCTTTAACGCTGCGCAAATTGTTGATGATGCCACCCGCATTAATTTTGCAGTATCACTGTTACGGGGACCTGCATTGGAGTGGTGGTGACGAACGCTGGAGTCAAAGGGGACTCCGGTAGGGATATCACGCGTGAACGACGAGACCTCGACACATGTCAGGCGACAGGTAGCATCAATCTTCGGAGTGGCTACGATACGCACATGGGAGGAGTGGGGCGCCGCCTTGCGAATCAGATTCGAGTATGTATCTGCCTCGGATTCTGCTCGCATGAAGCTGCATGTCTGGAAGCAGTTGACATCGGTCCTAGAATTTACAGTGACCTTCTGAGCGTTGGCCGACCAAGTGGACGATATGGGCGATGCGGAGCGACTCGATAAATACGTCGCAGACCTCAAGTACGAGATACAGTTCGAGGTGCGACGTACGAGGCCACGCGACTTCAACGATGCCGCACAGGTGGCCGAATCAACGGATGCGTCGATGCAATGGGCGAGAATGAGTTCTCTGGAGAGCACTCGTTTTCGTGGATCACCTCAACCACCTACAATCATCGGTGTGTATGCGCCTAGACGAGCCTCCGGGCCGTGCTTTAATTGCAACCAACCGGGCCACTTGAGAAAACACTGCCCGAAGCTGAAGCAGGGGAACAGGAACTGTCAGAACATTATAGCTGATACATTTGTGTAGGCTGTAGTGGGGTAGCCCATAAGGGGTACAACCCAACTAGGGTTAGTCCTTGTACCCAACTCTTTGCTAGTTCATTCATTCTCGTTCGTTATTTTGACATGGAATCAGAGCAGGTTCCTTGGGCCCACCACCTGCTACGCTGCTAGTACCCCACCTAGGCACGTCGACCCTAGCCTACGCGCCCAACCCGTCGACCCTAGCCTACGCGCGCCCGGCCCGTCGCCCCTAGTCTACGCGCCCGGCCCCGTCCCTAGCCCGCGCCCGGCCCCGTCGGCCCTTAGCCCCGCGCCCGGCCTCGTCCCTAGCCTAGCGCCCGGCCCCGTTCCAAGCCCCGCGCCCGGCCCCGTCCCTAGCCCAGCGCCCGGCCCCGTCCCTAGCCCGCGCCCGGCCCCGTCGGCCCCGTCGGCCCCTAGCCCCGCGCCCGGCCCCGTCCCTAGCCCGCACCCGGCCCCGTCGGCCCTTAGCCCCGCGCCCGGCTTCGTCCCTAGCCCAGCGCCCGGCCCCGTCCCTAGCCCGCGCCCGGCCCCGTACCTAGCCCGCGCCCGGCCCCGTCCCTAGCCCAGCGCCAGGCCCCGTACCTAGCCCGCGCCCGGCCCCGTCCCTAGCCCGCGCCCGGCCCCGTACCTAGCCCGCGCCCGGCCTCGTACCTAGCCCAGCGCCCGGCCCCATACCCAGCCCGCGCCCGGCCCCGTACCTAGCCCGCGCCTGGCCCCGTACCTAGTCCGCGCCCGGCCCCGACCCTAGCCCGCTCCCGGCCCCGTACCTAGCCCGCGCCCGGCCCCGTTCCTAGCCCAGCGCCCAGCCCCGTCCCTAGCCCGCGCCCGGCCCCGTACCTAGCCCGCGCCCGGCCCCGTCCCTAGCCCGCGCCCAGTGCCCGGCCACGTACCTAGCCCCGCGCCCGGCCACGTACCTAGCCCGCTCCCGGCCCCGTACCTAGCCCGCGCCCGGCCCCGTTCCTAGCCCAGCGCCCGGCCCCGTCCCTAGCCCAGCGCCCGGCCCCATACCTAGCCCGCGCCCGGCCCCGTCCCTAGCCCGCGCCCGGCCCCCACGACGACTCCTAACCCGCGCCCGGCCCCCACGTCGGCCCCTAGCCTCGCGCCCGGCCCCGTCCCTAGCCCACGCCTGGCCCCCGCGGCGACCCCTAGCCCGCGCCCGGCCCCCTGTCGGCCCCTAGCCCCACGCCCGGCCCCGTCCCCAGCCCGCGCCCGGCCCCCTGTCAACCCTTAGCCCCGCGCCCGGCCCCGTCGGCCCCTTGCCCCACTGTCCCTGCTGCTACTGCTACAGCTGCTACTGCAACTGCTACAGTTGCTACTGCTATCCTGCGTACAGCACAGCCATGGCTTCTCTTCGGGTTCTCGCGTTTGATCATGAGGGGAGACCGGTTCAGTTTGACACGTGGCTAGACGACCTGCAGCTGTACCTACTGAGCGATTCTAAGGACAGTGTCTCGCTGTTTGACCTAGCGTCAGGCGCTGCTACTGCCCCTCTCGCCACAGCTGACAGTTCGACTCGCTCACAGTGGCTTACTCGTGACGCTGCTGCCCGCTTAGCCATTCGCAACCACCTGCCATTAGCTGAATGCGCTCACTTCGAACAGCACAGGACAGCGCAGGCACTGTACGACGCTGTAGTCGCTCGCTACTCCTCCCCTGCCACTACTGCTCTAGGCCGCCTCCTTCTGCCCTACCTGTTCCCCGAGTTGTCCGCCTTTACCACAGTCGAGGACCTGGTTTCCCACCTTCGCGCTAGTGACGCTCGCTACCGCGCTGTCGTTCCTGCTGAGTTCCTTGATAGGAACCCGCCCCTGATGTACATCACTCTCTACTTTATAGTCACCTGCCTCCCTGACTCTCTTCGCTCTGTCAGGGACCACTTCCTCTCTCTTGACCCCACCTCCCTCACTGTTGACCTCCTCGAGCAGCATCTCCTCGCAGCTGAGACTAGTGCAGTTGCTGTAGGTGCTGCTCGTGGCACTCCGCGCCAGCCCTTCTTTGAGGGGTGTTCCCCCTCCCCCCTTGCCCCCTCCTACGCCTCTGCTGCTGCTGCAGACGTCTCTGTTCCTGAGGACGTCGGGGCTGCTTCTGCTAGTGCGAAGCACCACAGCAGCAAGGGCAAGGGTGGCCGGGGTGGTGGAGGTGGCAGCGGCGGTGGTGGA